GATCTGGGGCTGGAGAGGGAGGAGAGAGCCCCAGAGCTGGGCGCGAGGCTGGCGGGACCCAGAGCCTCGGTGACTTCTCGGGTGGCGACGATGGTGGGACACTTCCCGGTCCCCCAAAAGGAAGGGGTGGGGGGTTGAGGAAGGCCTGGCGGGGTGGAGGAGCAAGGGGCAGCGGTACGCTCGAGGGGAACAGGCTGGGAGCACTCCTGCCAGGCAGCCCCAAACACAGAGACCGGGGCCCCACTCCCCAGGCAGGGGCGGCCGGGGGGGCCTGGCAGTCCAAGAGGCAACACGGCCCCTGGAGGACACAGTGTCTGTCAGGGCTGGCTTCCACTGCCGCCTCCTAGATCAGCTTCTCCTCCTTCTGCGATGAGTTCAGCTTCTCCGTCTGTCTCTCATCCTCTGCCGCTGCCGCCTCCTCCCCTGTCTCCGGCTTCCTGCCTGGGGCTGGGGTGTCCGCGGCGATGGTCCCCAGGACTTTGGTGCTGTGCTCCTGAGCTTTGGCCCTGAGGGCGGCAATGCTGTTTTCTCTCAGTTCCTCCTGGGAAATGGTGGTTTTGGGATCCGGGCCCCTCTCTTCCTTGTCACCCTTGTCAAGCTTGGGCAGGGCCTGGCGCTCCACCTCCGTCTTCCTCCCCGCCTCAGCCGCTGCCTCCAGAGACTTTTTGTGCATCCCTAAAAAGAATTGTTGGTATTCGGGTTTAGAAAAGCGCCTGGGCATGGGAAAGCCATCTTGAACTGAAAACAGCAAAGATAAAGAGAGGCCAGAATTAAGGAAAAGCAGAAACCCTCGCTTCACGCAGCAGTCATGGCGAGCCGCTCGCTCTGGCCCCCGCGCAAGGGCAGCCCAGGCAAGGCAGCTTCCTGCTGGGGCAGCCTGGCCCCGGCATCCGTGGCCTCAGGGCTGCCCCCAAAGGTCTATAATTACTCTCCCCTTCATTTCTCTCTGTGAACCTAAAGCTAGCTTGTCCCCACATGGGGACGAGGGTCTCAGTAGCACAGTTGCCTGAGCTTCACCGAGGCTGGGGAAGGAGATCCCCCATTGCCTATTCCTGCATCAACCTGCTCCTCACACAACCCACCCCTCTGCCTCTCTCAGTTTCACACAGATAGAAGGACAGGACAGCCTGTCGTCAAGATGCCAGACGGGAGTTTTGGGGCAGAACCAGCCTGAAAGGTCAGAAAGCAGGAAGCAAAGAGCAGGAGCATGGGAGGGTTGCTGCTACCTCCGTGTCTGCACAGAAAACCAAGCAAAACCAGGCAGAAATGCAGCTCCCCCAGGTGCCAAGAGCAGGAGGAGGCAGCAGCATGTTCCCCCTGGGACTTGGGGCAAGGAGAACACATTTGGGGGTCCCAGCACCCCACAGAGCACCATGGGGCTGGGGGATTCAGACTGGGATGACCTTCTGCCTTGGGCAAGGGTTGGAGCCCCTGCTCCAGGACTGGGCACGAGGGGTGCTCGTGCCATGGGAGTCGAAGGCTAACACCAGCCTGAGCATGGGGGGCAAATTCCTGCCCCAGCCAGATCCTGCAGGTCAGGATCCAAGGACCAGCAGGGATTTGGGATGAGCAACCAGACCCTATTGACGAGGGCCGTTGGGGGATGTAGCGGTGGAGGGCATCGGGGTGGGGGGACCTCGCCCCGCTGCCCTCCACCCATGTTTTCGACACGGCTCTGGTTTCTTCCTCGCATCCCCCCCCCCACCTTGATCTAGACCCCTTGCCATCCCCCATGAAGGCGGCTGCTCTCTTACCCAGGAGCCAAGGGGCGCAGGACTCCATGATGCCATCCTTGGCAGACTTGAGGATGGACTCAGGCAGCGGGATGGAGTGACGCACCATGGCACCGTAGAGCCCGTACTCAGCCATCACGCTGCTCCTGCCCCAGCACTTCTCCCTCTTCCGCCATTTGGCCCGGCGGTTCTGGAACCAAACCTGGGGCGGGTGACATGGGAGGGACATGGGTTTTTGGGGGGGAGAAGGTGTGTCAGTCCCCTTCCTGCGTGGAAACACATGTGTGCTTGTGCAGTGGGATGAAGGCAGATGCGTGGATGTTCATCCTGAAAGCACTGGGACCTCTCCCCCCATGCAGCAGCCACTGGGTGTCTCTCCCTCCCTCCCTCTCTTGCAGGAGCAGCGAGGGCCAAGCGTGAGAGCAGGTCCCATCCCTCTCCGCAGGATGTAATTAATTTGCCATCGCGACGTCTTTTTCTAGTGGCTTTTGACTCTCGTGCCTGGGATTTTCTTTCATTATTTACTGGGTGTCTGAGCTGCGGCGTGGAGCTGTGGGCAGCGGTGTCTGCAGGGAGGGCTGGGATGGGGGCGGATGCTTGGGAGAGGCGGGAGAAGGGGGAAGCTGATCTGTGCGCTTCGCCCTGAATTCCCAGTTTGAAAAGCCCCTCATCTTCTCAGAAAATTGGCAGAATAATCTCTGAGCTGTGACCTGGGGGGCAACGAGCAGAGAGGCGGGCGGCTATGTGTGGGGGGGATGCTCGCAGAAATCTATTAGCGCTCTCTCTCCTATTTCCATTCCTCTTGTCTCCCTCACCCTCCTCCCTCCCCAGCTCCCCTCCCTTCCCGCCGAGCAGAGGCATCAGCTTTAGATGAAAAATTGCTCGAGGTCTATTCAGAAGGAGGCAAAGGAAGAGTCAGCCCCAGGGGCAGCCCAGGCCTGATTGAAAAATAAGTTAATTTCAGTTTGAATCGATGGGCCTCAGGCACTGAAATATCACGGGAAATTAAAGCAGCTGGTCCCCAGGGAACCACGCCATTGACCTGCGCTAATTAATGCCACGGAGTTACCAGGCACCTCTCCGAGAGGCAGCCCCTCCCTCCCCGTGGACACCCCAAACACCTCCTCATTTAACTAATTAGACTCACAGAAAATTGGGTGTTAATTTGTTTAGGATTTTTTTTTTCTTTTCTATTTTTTTCCCTCCCTTTCCCGGAAAGTACACGGCAGAATGGAAATGAATGGCGGGGTCTCGCTGGCAGATGGATGCTCGGGGTCACTCCGCAATCTTCTCCAACTTGATTGCTTGATTAGGTCGTTAGCACATTAAAAAAAAAAATTGCTTGCCGTCTGGCGCTGGCCTGATGAGTGGGATGAGGCGGGAATCGCCTGGGTAATTTATCTTTTTATATTGCAAAGAATTTTATTTCAATCTGCAGATATATGGAGGTGCCTTTGACACCTGTTTAACATTACAGAGCTGACAGCTTAACCCTCTCTTGTCCCCACCGCCCACAGCTGTGGGGGAGCTCAGGCTGCAGTGGGGAGCACTGGGGGACTGGGGCAGACCCCCAGCTCTGCCGTGGGGATCACGAGACTGATGCTGCGGAGTGATGTTGTGCTCTCAGCTGGCAAGGCAAGCTCGCCTCTTCTACCTGTGCAGACGGGAACTGCCCAGCACCGAAGCCTTACGGGGACAGAGCCACAGGGTAGGCGGGTGGCTTGCTAGCGCTGGTGACAGCCAGCCTTAGCTGTTCCTGGGAGCCTGACCAGCCCGACCTTGCAGGGAGCTCTGTGGGATGGGTGGGGTGGTGGTCCCAATGGCTGTGATCCCAGCTTCTCCCAGCAGAAGACACTGTGCATGTCAGAGGGGATTTTACAGCCAGGCTGCTTCACCACATGCCATCTCCTCTGCATGATAAACAGTCTGATTTACACTTTCATACTGCCGATATGTAACCCCTGGACCATAGATGGCTGCGAATCCACCGGGGCCTGAGCAAGGATCCTCAAGAGTGCACAGTTTCCTCTCTCTGCCTGCTCCTCCATGTCTGCGTGACACACACGGGCTTGCTCGGTCATGCAGTCAGCAGGATGCTGGCAGGGTCTCTCACTGCAGGCCACGCGCTCCTCCCACTCCCAGAGCCTGGAGGGCAGAGCTGGAGGTGACTGGCTCACTCCCTCTCCAACCTCAGCACAAATCCCTGTGGTTCCTTCTCACCCACCAGACTGGGGCGGCGGGGCAGCCACCCCCAACACCTCCATGCTGCAAGGGGGCAAGCTCAACCCACTGGGGCCAGGAGAGGGCTCCTGCCTGTTCTGCCCTGGATAAATCAGTACAGTTATGTCCCTTGCCGCAGAGCTCCTCTGTATCTCCCTTGGCTTCAGGGAGAAATTCCTGCACAACCCAAGAGCTGGTGTCTGCAAATCTGCCTTGTTGGGGCTGCAGTGACGCCTTTCTATGTATCCAGAGCGGCTTGCAGGGCTCAGCTCTGCACGGCTGTTTTTGTCACCAGTTGCCACACCTGGGATCTCAGCCAGGAACAGGTTTTTCCATCAAGTACCAAGTGGGCAACTTTCTAAACTCTCCTCAATCCTCTTTTATCCAGGGGCCTCTTCACTGATGCTTTTACCACCTCTCCCTTTCCCCTCCCTCCTGCCTTGATGCCCCAAACATCTTCCCCCATGCCTCATGCTCCCCTGCCCTTCTTCCTGGCCAGGTCTCAGCCTGCCCCAGCGCTGCCCTCTGCCACTAAACCTGCTGCCCTGGAGCATCCCCTTTCCCATGGCAGGGCCACGCAAATGCCGGAGCCAGCAGAAGCTTTGCCAGCTGACAGCCCAATTTTGACTAGAGCCGGTGGAAAATTTTCAATCAAAAAATGCTGATTCAGTCACACAGGAAAAACTGCATCTGGCCAGTGGAAGTGTAATCAAAATTATCTATGGCTTTCTTCTGAATGCTGTATTTTAATCTCGGCTGCCTAAGACATGCAAAATCTATGCTTTAAAGCCAAATGGGAAAATAAAAATGACATCAACACCTCGGTAAGATTCCCAAACCAATTTTTGTCATTTGATGGGAATTTCCTCTCAGTTTTGACTAGGAAAAAGGAAAGTTTGAAATCCTAGAATTTCTAGTAGAACAGAAATCGGGAGGACTGACCATCTTGATTTAATACCAGAAGCCAGATCTTCATCTCAGGCATGAAATCAAGTTAAACCAATGGTGCTCAATACTGAATATTGCTGGGATCAGACCCCAGCCCAGCACCTCTGCCACAAGCCTGTCCCAAGGAGCACAGAGGGAAGAGCTCCAGCATGGCACTGGCAGCCCCCACGACATTTCAGATCAGCAGAATTATTCCCCATGGCCCGTTCTCGGGATTTGGCCCTCCTTCAGATGGCTCCATCGGTGGGAATTTCTTCTGGGAGAAGATCTCACTGCTTTCTTCAAATTTTTTGACACGTTACCAAAATTTTCCTGTGCCTTGATTCTGAGCTGAGTTTTAGTAATTCTGAGGTATTTTTGGCTGTGTTGGTACCTCAGCCACAAATTCAAATATGCAGTTACTTATTATTGGCACCTCACTTTTCCTGGAGAGGGTTTCACCCTTACACTTACATTTACTCGCAGTTTTGGTATTCTGTGTCTTCTTTGGCTGCTTGTTGTCTTTGCTTGGAGATATCTACTCTACAATTTCTTCCAGCTCTGTAAAATTCAGTCTGCTTCAAGCAATGTTTAGGTTTGTCCACATTTCCTCTTGCCCCTTCCCATCACGTGGATTGGCTCAGCTTTGAGAAATACTTTATTAACGTGGCTGTGTACCATGCACCTTCCTTCTCACTTGCTTTCATCTGGTTCTCCATTGCATAGCCCAGGGTATGGTGAAAAGATTGTGTTTGTCCTTTCACACTTCACAAGCAGTGATGAAAACCCCTGATTAATTTTAGACTGTAGCATGTCAGATGTTTGTGCAAAGCTATCACAATCTGACGCATAGAGGTGTCTTTTGGACCAATGTGCTACATCTTAAGATGATTTACAGCTTTTTATTATCACATGAGCACCCTCTGTGAAACATAGGAATCTTGTTCCAGGAACCCTATCCTCAAAAAATGGACAACAGAGTAAAGAGGACAGGTTCGTCTTGCATCCTCCAGCTGCGTTAGCATCTAAGTTCAGCCCGTGCGTGCACGTTTGCTGTTCAGCAGCCCAAAGCCCTCTCCTGGGAGGCTCTTGAGGCTCCACAAGTGCTGCCCTTGGCCCACCAAGGGATCTGGGGTGGTCACTGCCGTGGCTGAGCTGGGAGCAGCAGCCAAGCATGTCTCTGACAAGGCTGCCAGACACTCTCCGTGCGCCGGCAGCAGAATGAGACAATGCTCACTGTACATTGCACACTGCAAGTTGGGTATGCCTGCACACCCTGCAGAAACTGCAGGCTCTTCCATATCCATGGGTCTTGGTCCTCTAGGCAAGACCAAAACCCATCACCTTGCAAAACCTGCTCTCAATATGAAACAGGCAAAGAGAGGGTGGTAACATAACACCTCACTCAGAGAGGATCTGCCCATCAACTCAATCCCTATCATTTGGTCAGAGCTGAGCATCACACACCCAACGGGCACATCACACTGACACTGGCTCCTCCAAGAGCAGCCACAGTCTATGAACCAAGATAGCAGCAAACGCCAGTGTCATCTCCTGGATCCTTGTTCCACATGTCCATTCTTCTGAGGCCCCCTTACCAAAATCAGCAGTATTGCAAAGCCTTATAAATGGGGATGTTTCTAACCTTAATCATCATCTAATTCTCACCCTCAGTGCCCACTGGCCAAAGCAGTAAAAGTTGAGGCACTCTGTGCTCGACCGCAGGGTTGCAATGTTTTGAGTCAAGACTGGCAAGGTTATTCTTGCCAGTTTTCTCCTCTGAATCACAAATAATGACTGATACTTCTTTGGATTATTGATGATGCAGAAGAGCAAATTGTAGTAGGAGGAATCTCTCATTTTGCAAAGGGACGTGAGACTCAATGTGTCCTTGTTATCCGCATTCATCATATTAGTTAGTTTGTTTACCTAATCAGCTCCTGAAACATTGTCTGCTAAAGAGAGAAATCTCCCAGAGGTTGGCCATGAGCCAGGAATCTGAATTAGCAAAGGGATATTTTAAGGCATCTAGGGTGTTACTGTGTATTGTTTCAA